CTTCTTATATATAGAAATGTGAGATGATCAACTGGTATTGGGTTGGGTAGCTAAGCTTATGATAATCTGTAATACAGGGGACAAACCCAGAACATAGAAAATATAAATTATAAGCAAAGGCTTAAATGATCCAGCTCTCTCACGCACAGCACAAAAGAAGGAATATAACACATACATTTTAATATTGGAGGTTAAGTGGGTAATTCTTAAGACTTTTTCTCCTTCTGATATAAATTATAACTAAGTTAAAATGTATCTCTTAAAATAACTAAGTTCAACAAAAACATAATTGTTCACATAAAATTTGCTTTGAATAGATAATAAACATAAAAATAGTTTGATAGAAGAAAAGTATCCTTTTTCAACAAAATTAATTTTGAAATCCTGAAACATGCTTGTAATACAGTATAATTTTATATACAAGATCTTTTCAATCTACCTCTCCTTTAGTAGCTGCATTGAGGTTACTATATCTCTCAAAAGCAAACTGCTACAAATGAAAATACAATTTTTATTAAGATTTGGCATGATTTTGATTAATTATCAAATATGCAGGGATTGGTATTTTTTTCTATAGTCAGAGAAAGAAAAATGTTTTAAAATATTTTTGTAATAGCTTATTTTTTAAAACTGAACCTTAAGGTATTTTGTTCAACATTAACACAGTGATTAGTAGTCTTCTCTCTTTAGAGAAAGAGAAGTTTTTCCTGAAAAGAAACATGAAATATTTCTAATCATACTACACTTAGAAATAAAACGCTGAGATAATATAATCGAGCCAGAAGTGCTCATTTGTTTTCCCCTCCCTCTGATGTGCTCCATGGGAATAAATTACATACTGAGGGAGGTGAATTAAAGTAAGAAGTCTCCTTGTGGCTAACAGTGACTGAATATACCAGGTAACTAATTTATTATCAGAGTGACTTAAGCTCTGGGGAGATTCTGGATCACAAACTAAAAATTAGGTTATATCAGTAGATTTTAAAGAGTATGTACATATTAAGGATTATATGCAAACATTTAAATAAATGTTAATTATACCAAACCAATCAGAGTATTAGTCTTATAATAACTAGCACCAGCTCCTGCATGTCTTTCTCTAATTAAACTGATTCTACCACACAATTTCTATCAGTCTAGCCCAGAGGGCAGACCTAAGGAAAATTATCAGAAAATGTCTTCATGAATCAGTTCCTTTAATGTACAGAAGTTTGAATTACATGACTTAGGCTTCTTTACCAAACCTTTGATTTTTTTAAAAGTCTGTGATAAAATTAATGCTTTTTAATCCAGAAATCAGATCCGCATTTAATTAAAAAATAAAAATGATAAACAATACTAAGGATACCAGCATATCAAAAACAAAACAAACAAATAAAAAACACACCCTAACATATTTCCAAATAAAATCTTGTCTTTTAAAAATTCAAAGGTAATATTATTCCCAGGTTAAACTAGAAAAATGCATAATCCAGAATAAACAATCTTCATAGAACTATTATTATCAAGGAAGAAGTTAAACATAAACATGTAAATACTTAGGAACAATAATACTTTGAAATGTTTAAGTACAAAAAGTCAACTCTATATTATAGTTTAACAGAACAGCGAATATAATTATTAGAACACAGATGGTCATCAATTAAAATTTAAGTACTATTCAATAATTCACTGTTTTAAAAAAAGAATTTTAAAAAATTTTAGACAAATATTCTTTCCTGCAAAAGGATTTCTCTTCTTTTTCACAGTACAGCATTCTATCTCTATTTATTATGATTGTTCTTCATTCATGGTAACAGATGATTACATTAGAATGCATTTAACATAAGCTGCACCAAACTGCTCCATAGTTTCATTTTGGACTGAATTAATTAACTTCACAGTAGGTGACTGAGGTGCTGAACATAAGCCTAAAGAAATACTTGATTGTTCAACCTATCTTATATGAGTCCTCTCTAAACCAAGGCAACCTCCATTTTTAGTAAATAGTATCAGGTAAAATACATTTGATGGGATACTAAAGAGTAAAGATAAGATGTTTATAATAAATGGATTTAGTTTTCCATATACATTCACATCCACTGAAAGAAGTTAGGGGGCACTGCAGACAGTTAAGGAGGGCTTAAGAAACTCAGAAACAGTTGGCATGCCTAATGTTTTTTGAAAGAGGTATGCATTTACAATTAAAACAACAACAAAACAGTCTTCTTTGTCCTTGCAAGATGTAAAAATAAAAAATTTATCACTTTGTAGCAATTAAAAATAATACTATCTTAAATGCTGCTGTAAGTAATTTATATCCTAGAGCTTAAAACGTAAATGTAATTGTCTGAGACATTATCTTCAGAACATCAAAATTATCATAATATAAAATATCTGTTCCTTCTATGAATGTTTCTCTAATTATAATATTATTATCAAGATCTGACAGCTAACTCTTTAAGTTTATAGTCTTCATACATCAAGAAGCAAATTAAAAGGACAAACAAGGAATATGAAAAGCCAGCTCATAAAAATCTGAAACATCTTTTATATTACATGGCATATTTCTTTGTCATAAACTCTGGTTCAGGAAATGAGAAAACAAATACTTCTGATGAACTCCCTGACAGTTTTTAACTCAGTATTTTTAGATATTTTTTTAAATTGTGAAGGAAGGAAGGTGGGGGAGGAGCAGAGGAGGCAGAGTGTAGGAGGGGGAAGGAAGAAAAAAAAAACTACCCAACTTTGTATTGTAACCACCCCCTTTATGGGGGTGTGAGCTAGCATTTAATGAACACAGTGGTCAAAGGGCATAGCTGAAGACTTCAAGGGATCTTAAAGGCTTTGTAACATATAATAAGATGGGTCCTCAGAAACAGAATAACTTGTGGGGGTGGGGTAGATTGGGGGGTTGGTCCTTGATTAGGCTTCACCTAAATAGTTCTAGGAAGGACTTCAGATCTGCTTCTGAGTTCCTCTCTGAGAACACAACTGCTAGGAAATTTCTCTATGAGTAAATTCTCTTTCCTGTACAACTTAGATTTTTCCTGTTGTAATTTGCATGAGGAGAAATGACAAGAATATAATTTGGAAGTTTTAATACTGGCTTATAATAAAAGAAGGTATCAACAACAAGGGGGAAAAAAAAAGAATGTTTAGATGCCAGTTAGAAGAAACAATTTAGCCTGCAGCATCTTCTAGCTCAAAAATTTAGGGCACTGATAGTCATGAATGCTGTCAAAAACAGCAGTGAGGTTTTAAAAAATAAACAAAAAATTCAAACAATAATATCCTTTCCATTTTTAATATGCCATTTACTGAAACAGCAAACACAACAGAAATTTATAAGAGCCGTCTCATAAAAAAAAAATAAAATAAACTAACCATTTTTTAGATTTTCATACATGTAATTGTGTCTGAATTCCATCAGGTAAACACACGACACTTTCTTCTCACCAAATGCGTCCTGGTGTCACCAATCACAAGAGACCTTTTGTGTCTTTACTCCCTAGAGTTCTAATTCTTACTAAGAATCCTGGGCAAGCATAAAAGTAACCTGGCAGTTACATCATGCTCTATAAATGAAGAAAGACTCAGCTATCTAAAAATAACGAGAGGCTCCATTTAAATTAATGCTTTTTTTGGTCAAGTGTTCATTTTATTTTGTAATAATGTAGTTCTGATCCAAATAGAGTTCTTACTAGCTTTAAAAAGATCTCTAGAGATTACACACAGGGCAGTAATTTAATTCTTATATTTTTACTTCTTGCAATAACGTTTAAGGTTCAGTGTGAATTGAGATTTTTAGTGCTGTTGCTGACACCTTATGGAAACTTTTATTTGGAAATTCTGATTAGATTTTTAAAACCATTCAGCTGTTGTTTACAAAGAGCATTAAAAAATGGATTTTTTTGTTCCTTGAAGATATTCATCCTCTTGCTATTTATTCCTCCCTTCATTTCATAATCCTGTTTGGGTCACTGCGATTAGTTGCTATGGAAATTACCTCCTATGGAAATGATTTCAATGTTATTATTATAAAATATGACTTTTAATGAATAATATCAATAGCAGACATCAACCCTTACTAGAGAAAGGAAACCTAATTAAAATTTAAAAAAGGATTAATTCTGGAAATTATTACCATGGCCAATTTTTTTCTGATATTTTTGAATCTACCATCTGCTTTTTAAATAAGTATTAAATAAATCTTAAGGTGTTAATCAGCTACTCACTTCCCCAAATTCTAAAAAATCACAATGGAAATTAGCACCACACACAGAAAAGTGGATGTAAAGAACATTTCATCTACCATTTCTCTAAACTAATAAATGTTATGCTTCACTTATGAGAATTAATGTCAACAGGATTTCAGGGCTCATCAAGGAAATGACTTTGAATAGCACATTAGAAATTCCCTTTAAAGACAAAGAATTTAATATTCCAAAATTTATCCCAGGAATTTAAAAGGTCAACCCTATAAACTAGTGAGCTAAACAATAGATGAGAGTCAGTGAACCATTAGATGAGAATTCCAGAATGCTAAGAAGAAAATTTTCTTGGGTGGATTCTATAATTTGTGGTTTGAATAAAACCTTTGAAACATTCCATTAGTATTAAAATTCTCACAATGAGAATATGGCTCATATTTAACACATTTTAAATTACTAGACAGTCTCTCCCCAAAAGAAATGTTAATGCTTTCTTCTGCGTAGTGCTTATTCACTGCCTGGTACTAATTTAGGAATAAATTAACCCTTCCAACAATTAGGATATTGTCTAGAAACTGCCTCTTACACTCTGCAGGGAAAATCACTTATATTCTGAAACTCAGAAATAAAAGAGAAATCAATGTCTTCATTATAAAGATGTTTTTCTACACCAAATAGCTTATTAATTACATATGCAAGCCACTACCATATTTACCTATGAAATTACAAGACATTAATATATTTATGACTTTGAATTAAGCCTCACAGTTATAGATTTTGTTAAATGTTTTATATGGTAAGGGCTTTCTATACTTGTGCCTGTAACCATGATCTAGGGTCCAAAATGTCTCTGATGGATTTCTGCCTTGGAGCTGGCACTGGCTTAGCTTCAATATTGGTTTCAGTATCCGTGTGCGCACCATCAGTTAAAGTCTTTTTCCTGGCAGGAAGAAGTTTTCGAGGAGCAGCGATTGGTTTCTGTAAGTGATGCATTAGGATTGATAGTCTGGTATCCAAAGGCGAGGTTTGAGATATACTTGCTTCTCCCCAGTTGTCCTTAACCAATTGATCTGTGTTGCTCTGTGTTTTTAAGCTGAATGGAGGTTTATCGGAAGGAGGAAGGGGAGCTCGTCTCTTTTTCCTTTTCCCATCATGTAATTGCTCACTTGTAGGGGACAATACCTTTTTCTGGATGACCATTTTATGATTACCATCAAAGACTGAGGCCCAAGGAGGAGGGGAGGATTCTTCATCCTGACCAATAAGAAACAGTCCATTCATCTCTTCAATTTTTTTTTGTATTATATCAGTTAAACTTTCAAGCTTCATAGGCGAGTCAATACCTGGAATAATTTTAAGAAAAAAGTACATAGGAAAAATTCAAAAAATGTATGCACTTTACCTGAGTAAATTATTAGCTTTTCAAATGAATATGCTATGATTGCCATCAAAAGCTCAAGGGTAGGATAAGCAATAAAATGTTCACTTGTAATCAACAGATCCAATAAACAAGGGTACTCTGAACTGCACTATAAACACATATTATATATAACAAACAGGCACACACATAATAGTGTGTACATAGGGTACACATAAATAATAAGCATAATACACTCTTGCACCCATGTATAAATATACCCCTAAATAAAGTAGAGCTTTATGAATACTTTTTAAAATTCTATAGGTTTAGTATTTATTAGGTAACTTTTCTTTGATTTAAAGCCTTATTTTGTCTTCTAGGAAAACTTGATATATAAACTGAAATGACTACAACTCAGTATTCTTTTCTGTAGATCAGTGAAGTCTCTGTTAAATGGGAAGAAAACCCAAATCAAAAATCCAGGAAAAGAGAACAAAGTCCTCAAACCACTTTGATGATAATAGTGCTAAGTAAAACTTTTGTCTTGGGAAAAATGAGAATAGAGATAACTTCTATTGAATTAAATTTTGATGTTTTTAATTGTGTAAACCTAAATGCACCATTTTTTAATCTAACATTTTAAAGTACATACAAATGTAAGCAAATTAGTGGAAAATTAGACCAGAATTCACCATTGACTTTTCTTGTTCACAACATTATTCATGGAGATAATCTCCCATGGATAAATAAACACCTTTTTTTTTTTTTTTTAAGAGAGAAAGTATTTATTTATTTAGTTTTTGGTGGACATAACATCTTTGTTTGTATGTGGTGCTGAGAATTGAACCCGGGCCGCACACATGCCAGGCGAGCACGCTACCGCTTGAGCCACATCTCCAACCCCAATAAACACCTTTTAAAGTGTAGGTAAATGGCATATTAATAAGCTAAGAAATTTAAAAATTTTTAAAGTAGTAGACTTAACTAATCATTTTTGGTCAGAGATGAAAGCTTCCTTTCATTAATATGCTCCTATCACTACTAGTTAAAAATTAATTTAATAAAATACAGAAAAAATTATTAAATATGATGACATTTTAGAATCTTCAAGTTTATAGTTTTAGAATTTTCATCCGCTACCCAGCTAATATTTATTTTTGCTGCAACCTTATTCATTTAAGCCTTTAATTTTTTGTTTGATTTTGAGCATTTAAACTATGAAAAATGTGTATTCATTAATTTTGTATTAATTCATTTATTAAACATGAGTTCTCTAGTCTGTAATCATGGTTTTTTTTCATTCATTTTGATTGTGCTCTGAAAATTTTAGCATTTTAATGTCAATAGAATAAGCCGCTTGAGTACAGACAATGTTGTTTTTGTTACCCTGTAGCTTAGAAAAGACAAACCCCACTTACTCATATCATGGTAGACTGAGGTTGCCTCTTTTGTCAAGAACAAAGGTGGTTTCCGTGGTGACATAATCTCAATTTTCATAAGTTCTTCACAACAGTGCTTCCATTGGCCTAAGAAAGAAAGAAAAAGACAGGCTAGTTTAGAACATAAATGTGAAGATATTTATTTCATTTTTAACAGAGATTAACATATTTTTTGTTGAAAAATAACAGTGAATCTACAAATAAAGCATTGCCTTAAGAAAGCCTGCTGAAAACCTAAAAAATTTCAAAGTCTCATTCTGTACATAAAAGTAATATATTTAAAAAATAAAGTTCTATGCACAGATATTAAAATATCTAGGCTATTAGATACTATACTCTTTCAATAAATGGCCAATAATAATTTTAAAATATCTATTCATGGCAAAAGTTTGTTCAGGTTCTCTTCTTTTAAATATTAAAAAATCAACTGAAACACAATTGCCTAGAAGAAAGGAGGGAAAAAAAAAGGCAAAGTATGAGAGTTCTCAAAAATATCTTTAATTTTGAAAATATTGATTAAGAAATAAGAATTATTTATCTAATTACTATCTTTTTAAGATGATTATCATCTTTTCAAAATCATGTAAGTCTAGATAAACACTGTGTTTTCATCTAAACCAAAAGGTATATAAAAACCTTTTACTATAAGAAAATATCATGCAATAAAATTCTGAGTCTAATTTGTTTTAAGAAAAGGCACTTTAAATTATGCCATTAAATATTCAGAATAAGATAAAAACAATACTCTTGGGTAAGGTGTTTCAACTATTCCATTAAAAATTTAAGGTGTGGATATTATTAATTTTTCTTCTAATTGTTTCACTATTTTGACAAAATTTTCATATTTCTCCTGAATGGCTATATAAACTTTAACCTTTCCAAATTTATTGTGTATCTGCATGCTGGATAGCAACTATGCTAGATACTATGTACCTTTATACTAAGATTACAAAAATAATTGAGGGTCACCATTTTTATATCTTACAACAGTAAAAAACTAAATGAGATCCACCTACATGTCTTTTTATTAAGACTGAATCATACTCAATATTTCTTTTTCTTTTTTTTTAATATCCAACTTAGTTGTTTTCCATAGCTTAAAAATTGAAAGACATTCCATGTTTAGTCAAATTATCTATTCATTTTTGTTGTTTCTAGTTGAATGTACTGCCATGGCAAAATGAGAATGTGTGCATAAATTTAAAATCCATTATCTTAACTAGCTAAGAAATATAAAAAAGCCTTTCAGAATGTTTTATTATGATGCTAAGTACAGAATATGGTAAAAATTTCAAAATAAGCCACATAGCAAGTTGAAGAGGAAATAAATTCCTGAGTACAAGGCTTTAAAGTTTGCTCTCTAAAATTTAAATCCAGTAGGATCTGAGATCTGACAACTTATTCCTCCCCCGACTTCCTTTTTTTAAAAATAAATATATAAAAATCAGTTTTTTCTTCTTGGTAGCAGGAAAAAAGTCCTTATCTAATGGGAAAATAATGATTCACTTTAAACTGGCAAATATTTCTCTGTCACATTCTTAGACAAATTATTATAAAGTATAGTATTTTCTGTATATTGATAGATGAAAGCATTTCATCGTTAAACTGGTAGCAGAATACTAATCATGTTGAAAATTGGAATATAATGCCACATTATTCCGTGTGTATCGGGTGTCAGATGTACAAATGTAATACGTTCACTGGTCAAGACTTTATAATTGAAATACTCACTGTGCCAGTGAATAAATGTGTATGCATAGACAGAGATAGCCAAGATGCCAACAGGAAAAGAGGCCCAATATGAAATGTTAAATGGATACATACTGTTCACATAACAACCCATTTACTGACGATGTTTCCCACATTCTTTATTGTCATAATGTTCCCAGTCAAAATGATCTATTATCTAAGCTGGTAATGTAACTCAATATTTATATTCTTAAATATTTGAAAAATTCAATGTTCCAAGTCTATTTTAACTTTCTGTGTCTTTGATTCCTAGTTCTACCCCTGTTAACCATCCAAAACAAGTGTCATTCTTTTTTTCATGTTTGTTAGCTCTCAAATATTAAAATTAGCCACTATATCCCCCTTTCTTCCTAACCTCTGTGAAATGACTATTCTTCTTCAGGATAAACAGACCTATTTCCATCATTGCTTCCAAAGGAATCCTAATTATCCTACTCCTGGTTTCCCACTCATAGGTAGGGCCAAAGAATTGAAATTTGCTGCAAATATTAAATTCTTTTTATTTTCTTCTGTTCTAGATATTTCCCTCTGCTTCATTCTAAATACCATGTTTCAACCAAGATCATAAGAGGTTATCTTTGATACTGGGAAAATAATTATTATAAGGTACAAGTCAATATTTAGGATAGTATAAACGCTTCCACCATTGTTTCATATCATTATTCACATTGTATTCCAAAGTGTAAAAACATTTGCACTTTAAAAATTACATAAACTGCTTGACCTGGTAGAGCATGCTTATAAGCCCAGTGTCTTAGAAGGAAAGAGGATCACAAATTCCAGGTCAGCCTGGGCAACTAAGCCAGACCCTGTCTCAAAATAAAAAATAAAAAGGGCTAAGGATGCAGTTCAGTGGCAGAGTACCCTGTATTCAACCCCAAGTACCACAAAAACAACAAAAAACAATTACATAGATTGGCAGTTTTTTATTCTAAAAAGCATTAAATGCCAAAGAAGTAGACCAAGAACCAAGTTGTTATCACTATCTTAATTTTATAGTTAAAGAAGGTCATAAATTCCTTATCCTTCCAACTCTCCACTTTAGCAAGATAAATTACTTTAGATAATCTAGAAAATGAGACTGTTTTCTAATAGTAGTTGACAGACTGCTATTTTGGCATTATTATCTCCATATACCTCTCCTTTCTGTTTCTGTGTACATAGAAAAGTGTAAAATATCATAATTATAAGACTGACTTTAAATTGAAGGACTTAGGCAAACAGTTAAAATTAAACTACAATCAGCAAAAGAAAGGAAGTTATCATTTGAGTTACACACTCACGATCTACTGAAATTTTCAACTAAAGAAATGTAGTACAAGCTGATGGACATGGAACAAATATTTAAATTTTTTGAATGCCTAGGGATGGTACTTAAGGAAAACAAATCCTAACGTATCCATGAAGACCACATAGAGAATCTTCTAGTTCAATGGAGTGATCCAGATACTTCTTTAGTGCTGTTTTCCCAATTTTAGAACAGAGTGACATAACTTCTACCTCATGAGGGTGTCATGAGAGAATGAAGCCATCAAGTACTTGAAAAGGAATCAATAAATTTAGTTCCCTTTCTTACCTCCTTTCCAACCTTCACTATAATATCCAATAAAGCCAGGAATCAGAGGAGGCCTGAAAAATGAATCTGAGGACTCTCTTTACAGTATTCCAGAAATTCCCAAAATGTCTTTAGTATTACTTCTATGAGTTATAGAAATAACTTTCTATTGTTTGGAAATGGGTCTATTTTGTATTTCTACAAAATAGCATTCTATAGACATAAAAATTACTGGTTAAATCTAATAGTAGGCTCACTTAGATCAGAAATAGCCATCATCAACATTCTAGATTGATAAAATTAAAGATAATACATATTCTGTTAATTTATTGTCAGTAAAGACAAAGAGCTGCTGTAATTTCAATATTTTCTTGTTGGTAAAATTCTTCTTTAAATTGAGAATTAAATATTAGAACATCATAAACTTTACACACTAGAATCCCACTACAATACTATCACACTGATTTGACTGTATTATTGAGATGGGAAAACCATATGTGGTTTAAAAGAAAAAAAGTCTCTGGATGATGTCCAAGATGATATTGTAACAAATCTGGAGTTAACAGAAGGTTACATAAAAATGAGGCTCCTTCTGAACATTTCAATATTTTAGGATCATCATTATCCTAGAAAAGTTTTTGCTCCTCAAATGGCTTCTTATCCCTTGGCTCAAATGCATTGCCTTAAGCAGTGAAAATCTAATATTTTGAGAAAATGTGTCTGGTTGTTTTAGGGATCAAAGGACCTTAAGAGTATGAGAAAGGTATGCTAAGAATTCAAAGGTATACTATATAATAGTCAGGCATTGGAAAGAGATTGAGAGAGAAAAAAAATCAGTGTATCCATATACTACCATTTTTTCCAAAAGCACAAAAAACTCTTGCTACAAATTATAATTTTAATATTTAGATAGCTGTGTGTAACCTTTCAGGCCACATGAATATACCATGAGATTCCAAATATCTACTCACTAAGATCAAAGAAATGCTGCCAGAAGCCTTCCATCCATTTCTGAAGATCTTCTCTACAGTCAACTGCAAAAACATGAGTTAGAGCTTGTCCAGCAACAGGGTTGATGACAGAGAAATTATGGATTCTTTTTTTGGCATCTTTATCCATTACATGGATTCTGGTTTCCTAAAAATTAGGGCAAAATTAGTGTTGTATAAGAGAATATTTCTGTAGTGCTCAAACAAATATTTTATTGCTTAGCTACCATATTTATACAAGATATACTTATAAAAATAGTGCTGATCATTTGAAATTTAAAATATGTCATTTTGAGAATTTTCAATATTCAAACTCAAATCTAGGAGGTTTTTAAAAAAAGAACGCTTTATATTAAAAAATCTGAGTAATGCTTAAAAGTATGCTACATATAGCACCAACATTAAATTACACAAGATTAAAACAACCTCTGTTTGGATCTCAGTTTAAGTGGGAGTTTGCTGTCTTTTATATACATCTTAAAATCTGCAATAAAACAAGTACAGCATGTCATAACTTTAATGTGGATTATATACTAAATGTATTTCCAACAATAATAAAATTGAATCATAAAGTATGTTTCCTATTCTAATATTCATACATATTATAGTGTTATCAGTTAAAGTAGTAAAGCCATAACTTAGTGTTTACCTCAACAAAACAGTTAGGCATTCATTCCTCTTAATGTTTATTTCACATGTAACATTCATTTACACATCTCATAGCTAAAGATCCATAAGCTAATATAACTTATAATGTTAAAATTATTTTTTAAGTACTGAATTCAACACTCGACCACAAAGGCAATGATTTCATTCATGTTTACAGTTTATAGTTTAAACCTTTTTTCTAAATGGTACCAGGTATGGCATTTTGATGATGACACTGTGTCTATAGGTAGAAGAAAGAAGTCTACTCCCAAGGCACAGCAGGCCACAAGTAAACTATAAACAACATACAGTTTTGACCAAGGAATTTGGGAGAATAAGTCTACAATGGAACTATTCATAATATAAAGCTAGAGACCTGGCTGCCAGCATAATGACTGGTTTTACGTTTTTCCAGGATAGTGCTGTTCAAGAAAAATACAATGTCAGCCACATATGTAATTTATATTTTTCTAGAAATAATGTTTTAAAAAGTAGAAACTGATAAAATTAATTTTAATAATTTTATGTAACCCAACATATGCTATCGTCATTTTAACATATAATTAATCTAAAAATTGAGATATTTTATATTATTTTCTCATATTCAGTTTTCAAAACCCAGTTTGTATTTTACATTTAACAGCATATCTCAATTCAGAACAGCCACAATTTAAGTGCCCAACAGCCACTAGGGGCTAGTGGCTACTGTATATAGTAGTACCAGAAAAACATGGTTAAGCCTATAACAATGTATGTAGAAAACTCTTTTGGCTGGCAGTTACAAAAGCAGATTAAGAATGGGAAGAAATTCTTCACTTCACTGAATATAAAGTCAAGAAAGATTGACTGTATGTACAATCACAACCAAAACTCACATACACACACAATGATATTTATGTGGGTATTAGAGAAGTATCAGTTAGGAAGAAAAGCTATTCATTCCCTGAAAAAATGGAGAACTACAGGCAGCTAGACACTATACATACACCATAGAAGAAGTTCTTTTCTGAAGGAATTAATTCTTATTTAAAATCACATGAGCAAAATAGATGCTATATACAGAAGCAACATAATTTTGAAACTTTAGAGTGTTACAAAATAAATGGATTGTTAACCCTCTTAGAGTCAGTCTATTCTGTCATTGTAGAAATCTGGGAACTTTGGAATATCTTTAGAGGACTGTAATGGGACTTATGGCTAGCATCTTCATTTTATTATAACAGGGTCTTTGTACACTTCAATGCCTTGTTAATAAAACTTTGTGAATTGTATTTTATGTAATTATTTACACAATGTAAAAATAAGCTGTCCTAAATGGTATCCTTGAAAGCTGAAAAAAATTGCATCTAATGAATCTCTTTAAAAATAAAGTTTATTAAAAAATAGTAGAAAGACCAGTGGACTATACAAAGGGGAATGATGTGAAGGTAAGAGGGACAGGGAAAGACAGTGGAATCTGACCTAACTATCCTATGTACATATATGAATACACCACAGTGAATCTCCCCATCATGTACATCCACAAGACACTAATTAATAAATATTAATTATTGTAATTACATATATATTAATTATTGTAAATAGCAGAAAGATCAGTAGAGTAGAGTAGAGGGAAGGGAACAGGGGGAGAGAGGAGGGGAGGGAAAGGAGAAGTACTAGGAACTTGATTAGAACAAATTATATTCCATGCTTTTATAATTATGCCAAAATGAATCCTAATGTTACACATAACTAAAAGAACCAATAAAAAATAAAGTTTATTATCATTATCAGAGAATGAATTAAGCTCTAGGAAGAATTCTATCAGACTAAACGAAGGCTGAATCATAGTGGAGGGAAAAACCTATTGTTGTTTCTATTAAAAAATAAGAAGCATTCTTGTTACTGAAATTGTGCTCCCTTCCACTCAATTTCATTTTAATGCAAATTTATGACTACTTTTTGAATATGGGATTAAAATAAATTCAACTTTTAAATAAGAAATATGTGATTTTATAGATTAATGTTTATATTTTTAACAATATATCATTTAAAATGAAACTCCTATGTAGAAATTGTGATGAAGTAGATCATTTATATCCTCCTAGGAAAAAAAATACAAGAATCTACAGATAAATACTATACACTCCATTAACTCTGGAAACCATAAATACCACTACATTTTTAAAATGTGAGAGGTTTTTAAAAGGTGCAAATGAAATGCAAAAATCTGAATAAACTTCTCTTTTCACCCAAAATAATTTAACTAATAGGAAATATCTTACACTAAAAATTACACATTAAAGGGAAAGTGATTAGAACAAGTAAAGTTTCTCAACTTTAGAAACTGCATGCAAGCTGTTTTTAAATGGAGACAAGTATCAATAATAGTACTCGGGTATTCCCTTCTCAAAAGAGAAAGTGATTAGAAAACACTAAAGTGTATTTTAGGGCAGCTCATTAAAGAATTTGTAATGCGTAGAAGAGAGAAGTATCTCTTCTTAGCAGGTTCTCAAAGCAAGCAATTTGGGACTTTCTGCCCCTTGGTATATCTACCACATAAAATATTGCCTTGCACCCAGTAAGTGGCTAAAAAAATTATGAATAAAAGAACTAGAGAGGAAAAGAACAACCTAGATAATGATAAAAGAAAATTTGGCATTAAAAGACTCAGATCCCAGAAACAGCTTAAATCCAACTCTTTAATTTAGATGAGGAAACATCTTTTGAGAGAGAGATGTTCTATGTGAGACCTGAGTGTCCCATTTTGCTTTTGCTTATCCAAAATCTTTTGATTGATTTGTGAGGATTGGTACTCAACTTTTATTGATTGGAGATTAATTACTGTAAAATTTTAATTGAGAGCTGGCTTTGCTTTTGCAATCAGCACACACATAACTACAAACTTCCTCTGCATAAGATAGTGGCAGTACCCAGAAAAGGCCAAGTGAGGGTTATAAAAACAATATGAGGAGTCAATTTTGTAACAAAAACATAAAACTCCAAAGTTAAAGGAAAATTTCCTTCAGGGTTTTCATTATTTTAAATTGAAACTGTTGTTTAACCTCTCCATTTCTGGGTAAATGGAAAATTAATAGATCAGGACTAGATTTATAAATTGTTTATTATTTTACTTTTGACTTTAAAAAAGTTTACAACTGCACCATATAATGGTCTAAACAGTCTTCCCTATAAAGAGGAATCAGAGCTCTATGGAAAAATGGCCAATTACCAGACTGAATCTAGAAAATGTAGAGAATATGATTTTGGAGCATCCTCTCTTAACAGAAATCAAAAGTTACTAGGGTTGTGTCAAAAGGATTCAAGAGCCAACTTGAGAAGGATTCCATTAGTCAGCATGGACAATTAAAGCATCAATAAGAATAACACTGGTCATGGGCTGTTTTTGAATCCATAAATTTATATAGAGAATAGTTCAAAGAACTATATTTGAATATTGAACATATATTTGAACCCATAGTCATAATATTTAAATAGTAACTCACTGGCCACCTTTGAAGGTGTAATCACCTAATTTTTTAGGAACTTACATATAAATACAAAAAGAAAGAAAACGAAAATCAAACCCTTATTTTGTCTTTTCTGTAAGAACTATACCTCAGGGTAACTAAACAATTGATGACATAGAGGTATTCCCACCTGATAAATGAACGAAGAATTGTTAAAATATTGTCAGTTTGCAGTCCCTAAAAATAAAATAAAATAAAGAATCTAAGCAATGTTCATCAGTGGATATTAAAATGAGTGGAAGACCCAAACATATTCTATACCTCCTAATAACAGTATATAACACTTTCTAAAATATCTTCTTGGGGTGGGTCGTACTCAGTGGTAGAGTGCTTGCCTGGCATGCATGATGTCCTGCATTCAACTCCCAGTACCACACACACAAAATAATAATAATATAAAATATCTTCTTAACAACTAACTAACAACTTGAGAATGAGTCAAAATATAGAAGAAAAAAAGGCAACCCAGAAATGTAATCAGCAAAATTCAGATTATAACAAACCCTGTAGGATGAATAACTCAATTATCTTCAATAAATAAATGGTATGTGTGTATGCATGCATGTGTATTTGTGTACATGCACAAATGTGTAAGAGACAGAAATAGAGAGAGAGAATGGAACAAGAACCAAGACTAAAAAATCTAACCAACTGAAATGTATGGGGATCCTGATTCAAAATACTGTTGCAAAAACGTGCAACAAGAATTTAATGATATATTAACCACATATGACTATACATATACACACAACATACACACACACACACACAATTGTTTTTTCTTGCCACACTTGGAATACTTTCAACTAAAATAGTATAGTCTCTAGGATGTGCTTCAAGTAATTCTAGAGTGGGGGCAATGTGTAAGGCTACACATTTACTTACACGCTAGACATTTACTTACATCCTTGGTCTCATCTAATGTGCAGTCGGGGATAATAAATGTTGCTGCTTAAAACAAGCCTCAGAGTTTATACATACTCTAAAAATC